GGGCTTATATCGGGACACTCACTTTAGGAAACGTCTAAGGCTTGTAGACAGTCCAATCTGCCGATGATGTTACTCGGCGAGTGCTCAGGATTTGCATGTAGTAGAATGACGCTCCTAGGAAAACCCTATCTGGAACCCAAGGAGCTGAGAGAAGTGTCAGCAAGAAAGCTTCTGGACTTTGTAAAAAGGATAAAATTACTTACTGAATAGGACTCTGCAGTGGGATGCCTGATACGGCCGCCGCGGTGCTATGGGACTTGATTATAACCAACCACTAGAAGAGGAAGAAGAAAAAGAAGATGTCACAAATGTTAAGGCTTAAATCTGAATACTTTCTTGCTAATTGCAAATTTTCATGAAGCTGATTTTACTCCAGTATGTTGTTAACGCTGATTTATAAACTTTTTTCGTTGCAGTTCCTGTTACCCAGAAAAAAAACTTCACTATTCCTCATTCCCGTTAGTAGATTGCAGATAGATAAATGGGTATGTATGTAGATACATTTCGGTGGTAACATCAAAGGAAAAAGTTTATAAATGGGTTCCATTTAGATTGTAGCTATTCACTTATCTTATTTGAAATATAGTGAAATATATGTGTTATAGTGTACATTGTTAAATATGCCTCAATAATTATTTTATTAAAAACCTTTACATAAAGCAAAAACAATATCGAAATCAATATACGGCCCTAAAAAAGGATATTCAGAATTTATTTTATATATCACTACAAAATTTCTACCAAGAATGTATTTTGGTTGGGGCACCATCTTCTGTTTCCCTTGAAAAAACTTTACTTGAGCCCTTAATTTGCACCAAATTTATTTTATTTAGTAATGTAATGTAATAAACAAACAATAATAAATTACAATTTATCTTTTCAAAACCTCTCTCCGTGCATTGGCACGGCCTTTTATATATTTTTCGTTATTTCCCGAAATTTCCATGGGTTTCTAAGAACATTATAGAACGATCTCTAAGCTTCTAAGAATATTATGAAACTGATAAGTGAACAAATATACAAACAGCGACTGTCGCTGCACTACCTCTTTCCTGAAGATCCTCTCCTGAAGCAGATCGTTCCGATCGCAATCAGAGTCCCCTTCTCAGTATTTGGCCAAATCATCCAAGTGAACGACTTTCGTTTTCCCTTAAGGACCTATCTATATCCTGTAGATTACGTCATTAATCCTCTTGATCACCGCTATGGGTCTTCCTAGGAAATCTAGAGCTTTAGAAATTGTCCATTCTTCCTTACTAGATTGTACAGCCATACTAAATCTCTTTCCTGCAACCTACTAATGTTGGCTTTGACATCGTACCGGACTTTTAGTCGATTGCTTTCGAACCTCATTTTCTGTCGGACATTGTTGTGGATAGCATCAATTCTAACTCGGATAGGTAGTCTTCTTGTGTGTCAATTCGATCTTCTGGATAACCATAAACAATGTCGAAGTTTGGTGTTCATTAACAACAACTATTAGGGTTCGGTTAAATCTTTCCACTATGGCGTCAGACTGTGGATGCAGGGATGTTGTTCTAGACTTTTTGATATGTATAAACTAAAAAAAATCTTTGAAAAACATCCCATTCAAAGTTTTGTCTTTGATCCGAATGCAGTTCTCTTGGAATCCGAATCTGCAGAAGAGGTTTTCAATGAGAACTTCTGCTACCGTCACTATCTATTGACTGGAGATGGAATATACTTCTGGCCAATTACTGTAGTAATCTATCGCCATTAAAATGTAACAATTTCTAGATTTTGTCTGGGGAAACGGTTCAGCGACGTCTATGGTAATCCTCTTGAAGGCAGCTCCAACGATGTGCTGTTTTATCTGGCCTTGGCTTCTAATTCTAGGTTTTTTGCTGCTAGAACAGTCAGCACATCGACGGCACCAATCTTCTAGATTTGCTCGCCTTCCTAGCCAGTAGAAACTTTATCTAACTTTATTCAAAATATTGTTCCTTCACCTACTCCACTTCGTTGACTTTATTCCTTGGAAGTACAACCTGCTTTTGTACTTCATTGCCATCTGAACTGCTTCTTCAGTGGGAAATTTTTTAAGATAAGGGAATCCCGTATTGCCCAGTAATCTTTTAACGTCAATTATTTGTCCGATGTAAACATCTTTCGGGACACGGTCTTCTGGACATTGCATCTGCGTTCCTATGAAGTCGTTCTCTAACGAACTATTCCACTTCTGACACTGATTTGTACCAAATTGTTTTTATTTAGTACAATTTAATGCACATCGGTTTACAAACTTTAACTTCGCAATACAAATTACAACTTAACCTTTCAAAAACTCTCTCCGCGTTGTTTCCCAAAATTTTCGTAGGTTTCTAAGAACAGTATAGGATATTCTCTAAGATTCTAAGAACATTCTAAAACCATTATGAAACTAATAGGTGAACAAATGTATAAATAAGCTATAATATCACCAAGGAGCTATGTCAACTTAGTCCAAGCATTATAGAGAAATGCTTACAGAAATTATTACCTGGACAAAAAAAATATGACCGTATAGAAAAATAAATTTTAAATTGAGTTTCTTGTTCTTTAAACTCGATCCAATATGGCGAACACGGTTAAAAAAAATCGCAAAGTTGAAAAAAACGGTTTTTTAAAAATAACTAAAAAAATATAGCCCGGATTGAATAATTTTAAATGGGAAAGTTGTAGGTTTTAAAAAGATCTATCGACTGATTTTTTGAAAGTATCGATTGCTTTGTTACTTTTCGAGATATATCAAAAAAACCGTTAAAAATCTTCTCTTTTCTCTTCTTCTATAACTCGTTTACATTTACGTGCCCATATTTTCTATTTACTGCAAGCCTAGCCCGCGGCAAGCCAAAAAAGTACGTTTTTGAAAAATTTAAAAATATTAATTATTTTTCGAGATATATCGATTTTTTGAAAAAAAGGCGCTCTCGAAAAATGGCTAGATCTTCTCAGCGGATAGCCCTACAGTAACGATTTGCGGTTTATTTTCTTCGTAAAGAGTTATATTATCATGCTGTTAAAAAATGTTGACGATTTTATTAATTTTAAGGATCAAAAAATGGCTTTGAAAAAGTTGCACTTTTTTGGGTATGTAACTATTTCAATTTTTATTTTATGATAATGACTTTTAAAGAAAGAAAACTAAACATTTACGGGTCTATCTTGCTTCTAAGGCGAAAATGCTATAATATTCGTGTTTAGCTACCCCAGATTAAGTAAAAAAAAAATAATAAAAATTGAAATAGTTATTTGAAAAAAAAAACACAAAAAAGGTGCAACTTTTTCAGTCATTTTTTGATCCTTAAAATTAATAAAATCGTCAACATTTTTTAACAGCATGATAGTATAACTCTTTACGAAGAAAATAAACCAAAAATCATTACTATAGGGCTATCCGCTGAGAAGATCTAGCCAATTTTCGAGAGCGCCTTTTATAAAAAAAATCGATATATCTCGAAAAATAATTAATATTTTTAAATTTTTCAAAAATGTACTTTTTTGGCTTGCCGCGGGCTATGCTTGCAGTAAATAGCAAATATGGGAAAGTAAATGTAAACGAGTTATAGTAGAAGAGAAAAGAGATGTTTAACGGTTTTTTCGATATATCTCGAAAAGTAACAAAGCAATCGATACTTTAAAAACATCAGTCGATAGATCTTTTTAAAACCTACAACATTCTCATTTAAAATTTTTCAATCCGTGCTATATTTTTTTAGTTATTTTAGAAAAACAGGTTTTTTCAACTTTGCGATTTTTTTTAACCATGTTCGCCATTTTGGATCGAGTTTAAAGAATAAGAAAATCAATTTAAAATTTAATTTTCTATACGGTCATATTTTTTTTGTCCAGGTAATAATTTCTGCAAATTTAACATTAATCCGTGACAGAATGCTTGGACTAACTATCTTTTATAGAATCCAAAAATCGCTTTCCGTTAACAACTTATCGTACCTGGAAGGTTTATATAAATCACCCGCTATCTACTAGTTTGCCGTTTTTCATCATACTAATAGATTTAAAAAAAATATCTGTAATTAATGAATCATCACTCAGAAAATTTTCTTTTAAAAATGAACGTCAAGAATTGCTTGATTGGTAGGTCAGCAATGTTTTACAGTTTTCAGTGAGCGGTACAGCATTGCCTTCCGGGTAGTCCGCAAGACCCAATAACTTTCAAATTCGAAAGTTTTCGGGTGCCTCAAAGTTCTAACTATTATCGGTTGGATAACAGCCCAAGGTATTAGCCGCAAACATGGGCTTTGAAGAATTTGTGACATAAAGTGTACCAAAATTTTAAAAATATACAAAGTTAACTAAAACTAAGTTAAAATTAATTTTTTACACGCATTCTAAAAGTGGTTATATCCCCAGTTTCATAATAGATAATAAAATTTAATTTCTTAAAAATTTAAACTTCTAACTGACGACTAAGGCAGCATATTGCCAAAAGAATGCACATTTTTAACAAAGTTCTCCTTTCACAAAAAATTTTCTTATAGAGAAATCCAATAAAATCCTTTAGCAAACATATCTAAGACAACATATATTATTGCTAAAATACTTATCTTACGGAGTATCAGAGATGAAGAAGTCCAAATTTAAGATTAATTTCTTGAACCCTCATTTTCGAGTTGTTACTGAAAAATTTATACCATATCGCTAAAAGCTCTGCAAAAAATTCGATTGCTACGGATGTCATTTTGTAAGAAATTTGTAAAGATAGATACTTCTTAATAGTTGAATTTTAGAAGTAAGGTGTATATATGTTAAAAATAGTTTAGCAGCTTTCTTCCCATCCAGGCGATTTGTTAAAATGTCGTAAATATATCCAGCACCCCTAAATAGTTGTGTACTGGAAATATCTGCTGGTTGGCGATGAGAAAAATATTAAAGATCTAAGTCCATTATCATTAGGATTAGGTATTTCTATTTCCTCCATTCGAAAGCTTATCCGTTTTTCCTTCGAGTAAGTTTTCAGTTATTTTCATGTTGAGATCATGACTTACAGCAGGTAATTCTTTATAGCCTTTTCTCGAGGAATTGGGAATTGTTGGAGATTATTTAATAATTCATGAGCCTGAGAATTCATAATTAAAATCTTTATGATGAAGAAACCTCTATCTTATTGAAGTATATCCTTCATCGTTGTTCAGTGACAGTTCAGTTAAGAATATAATCTATTTTTTTAATAGCACTGATATTCAAATATAATTTGTATATGTATAACGAATGCCTATGATAAAATTACAGTTTTTTTTAACATATAATCATATATTACCTAACTTAATTCTAGTTTATGTTTATGGGTATATCTACGTTTTAGTGATTATAAAATTTAATTTAATACTGGCTTATAAAAATATTTTAGTCCTATCTTTGTACGAAAAATTTGAATTTTTCTAATTGAACTTTCAGCAAGAAACTTTAAATTTAAATGTTGTTTATTAACAGATGTGTATTAATAATACAGGGTTTTTTAATGAGTAAAAGAAAATAGTTAATATTACATATATTTTAATGTAAGTTTCTTATATCCATAAAAAAATGTGTATAATAATTAGTATTTATGTATTTTTATAAGCAATTTCTAGTAATAATCAACACACTATTTACGATGTACTTAAATATACACTTCAGCCACAGTTTCGTTATTTTTAATAGTAGTATCACTTTCTATTTATTCTGCACCCATTATCCAATTACGGTTTTATGTTCGTACCGTAAAAAGAAACGTGTGCATTTTATGTTTGCCCTAAAAGGTATTACTTAAACACGCCCTAATTATGGAAGTACAGTTCAATGTTATCGAGTTTAGCAGTATTACCTTATTTCTTAGCCAGACGTACAGCATACATTTTGAAAGTAAATACGCGGGCACATTGGACACATCGATTAAACTCAAACAAGTATTAGGCAGCAATGTTATTGAAGAGGTACTTCTTAACACTAATTTGAGCTTTCCTGATCTGATTTATAGTTTACCGCTGTTATTTTCAGAAACGTAAAATTTGAAAAATTGTATTTACTTTTCAATTACAATTAAAAACATATTAAATATGAAAACCTTTTCAAAACCTATTTTAAGCTATTTTTGAGTTATTACAAGTTTAAATTCTGTTTATCCAGGGAGTTTCGGGATTAACTGATGGTCAAAGATGTATAATCAAAAATCTGCAACCTAACTCGATTCTAATCTCCAATAATAAGAATTTTGTTGAATAGGAATATCAAATTATTACATTACGTTACATTACCTTAGATATATTAAAAAAGTACGTAACTTAACTCAATATGTCCTAATCTCCAACAGTATCTATTAAACTAACCTAATTTTTATAGTTACTACTTCATTAATTTGGAACCAAAGGTAGACCTCAATTTCAGCCTTCTTTAAAATGTTAATTTTTTGTAATCACATTTTCTAATAATAAACTTCCATATACGAGTAAATAATTTTCCTTTTCTTAAAACGTGTTTCATAAATAAACCATTACCTACAAAAATCAGTCATACATTTTTTTATTATAATGTGTCAAAATTTGAAACAGTTACCACAGTTAACATATTCTGAAAAAAGGATTCCACCACGAAGATTGTGATATTCGGGTTCCCCTATCAATCTTCCTGGAATATCAAACTCGGGCGGCAGGGAACCTCGTGCTGGTCATTTTCGCTAATAATATCTTGGAGTTAATACCAAGAGCTGGGCGCGCTTCTTCTTCCTAGGTACTATTTTTGTTTTTCTTTTTCATTTCTAGGAGCTATACCATTATTTTTTTATTTTTATTATATTTTTCTGTGATACACTGGCCTTGTACCCTTTCACTCTCTTCTCTTATTTGCATGTTAAATACACATAATATACATAAGGCAGGTTGATAGTAAACGCCTGGGAAGTTTTATCTGGTAAAAGCAAGTAGAAAGCAACGTGCTCCGTACGGTAGCATGAGAGTGTCATTCGCGATTTCATCATGAAATCAATTGTCAATAATTAACAGCATATCCTCTGGGTCGATGTTCAAACGCTGTCTTCGTAAGCTCCGTGAGATTGGATCCTCGACAGCTTGTTTAGTGGAATTGGAAACTGGTATGAATCATCTTTGTGCTCAGGTCCTTCTGTCTATGTCGCATCGTAATGGTGGTGGCTTTCGCACCTCTTTTGTACTTTCAGGGACTAGGACCAGTTTGTATTTTTTTTTTCGGTCCCCTGCTGTATTGGAGATTTTCTGGTCTTGGCTGTCTCGAAATTGGAAAGTGTAATAAAAATTAACTTGATGCAACAGTAATCTTAACCGAAGGGCAAATTCGAAGGATTTTCTTCTAGTAGAATTTCTTCGTCAATGGAAATATGACATTGAATTCCGCCGTCTCCATGAGGTTATATATCACAAAACCTTTGAACTATTTGGGCGTATATTTTCGCATATATTCATTCATTTTATTTTTATTTTCCTGTAGAGTACCGTAGCTATCATGTAACAATATTCTTGAAGAACAAACAAGTTACCTTGTAATAATTTTGCTTCATAATTTTATCTTCAGCTTCAGCATGTTGTTCCATAAATAACATTGCATATACCAATGAGTTTCTAGGGTATATATGAGGAAAATTATCTAGGTATGTATGTATACCGATGATGTATTTATGGTGGTCTCGGCAATTTAGTACTTTTTGCCAAAATACTACTACTTGATACTAAATGGTCCCATAGTCTTGCAAATCAACGAATTGCTATACGACAATTAGACAGTGCTAAAGGCTATTAACTGATACAAAAACAATTTCTTGCTTGAATTCTTTGGTAAAAATAGTAAATCAAAACGACATGACTCTCGCTTAGGGACAATTAGATGGCTGATGAGTTAGCCAGTGCAGGATCATCCCGAACTTTTTTTCATTATTACTAGTGTTATTTAAGAAAGAATCGGTAAAGGATAGAGCTCGTAAGTGGTAGCAAGAAACCTCTGGAAAGGACAATCGAAGAAATTAACGGTAATAATAGGATTTTGCAGGTTCAGGAAATATTTGGAGGGATGAATCTGAATTACGTAATTTTACGTAAAGGCCCACTGACAAAGCTATAGATTAGAAGAACTCTAAAATCATAGATGTTCTTAATAGACCCATGATCGGTCGCAGTAGAAATGGATGGTTTATTTACTCCATGCGGCTACAATCTACAAGTACCTACCAGTATTTCCATTAATGACTGACATATTTGTATACAAATTCAGTAAATTTAGCATTTAATTGAATGTGTTATGATTGTGTAGGTAACTGATGATGTATATGATTATGTTAATTAATTTTATTGATTGTGTTGTGTATTTATTATGTTGCTATGTTAACTCAAAAAACAATAAGTACGAAAAGTTTTATTATTTAGCTTCAAGAATCTACCAAATTCAAACTGAACCTCTAAATATATATGTTAAAATGTTAAATTAATGTGTAGGTTATTAATTTTTGTCAATACTTATGTCGAAAAATAGACACCAACTTTTTGACCCTGGGTGACCACCCCAACGACATCCTCCCTCTGCCCGCTAACCTTTTCTGTTTCAGAGACAGCCAGGATCAAGAAACGAAGACAACGACACACACACATACACATACATACCCCCCATACTCTCCTTACCCCTTTCCTCTCGCGCTAGCCTAAGAGCCACCTTAGCAAAGCGCATCCCAGGCTGCATAGCCGCACTACCCTACCCAACCATACCACACATAAACATGACACCACCCCCGGGGTTTACACAGACGAGCCGGCGAAGCAAGAAAAGCGCCAGAAGAAAGGGCCCTAGCCGGCGGGGCTCAGCAAGGGCAAAAGGAGGTCCCACAAAGCGCCTACACCGGCCGCATTTGCGGTCGGGGTAGACGACGGATGGGGCCCAACGAAGGCTGTCCAGGCCTACACGAGATGAGGCAGGATAAAGAGGGATAATCCCCCTCGATCCCAAATCATTGAGGCCAATTTCTAGCCATGGAATATTAGCGCGTATATCGAAACACCGCTGCAGTACATATTGTTATAAAAAATCATTATATTCCACCGATGAATCTGGACTTGTATGTTGTAAATTTACCAAAATGTCCCCTTAAGTTATAAGTTAATTTAAGTTATAGTTAATTGTATCAGATTCAATTAATAAAGAATAAAGAACTATACGTTAAGCAAACAATATGCAATGGTAAATTATAATTTCATATTTGCAAAACTTTTGTGAAGATTACTGTAAGTTTAATGAATTCCGTTCTTTGTTTATAATTCACTATTGAATTTACAATATTTACAATGTCTAGCCCAATTTTTACCAACATCTTCAGAGATACCCGCCGAGTAATTTTGAACTATTGGTTCATTAAGAACTTTTTTATCTAAAATATTGAGGTTATGATCCTGTAAATCAGTAGATTCTTCCGATAAATGCGAGTGTACAAAAAATATAACTTAAAAACGCATTAGTCGTTCTGTCAGATTTAATATAGCAATATTTAAAGATTACTATCGGATAGATAGATTAGTTGATCTACTGAACAACTTTGCAAGTTGTAGCCAGAATCTATTGGAATGTGTTTGCCTCTTCTTTCTCCGTTCTTTAGTATTTCTGTTAGTAAGGTAAGTGTCCTCTATTTTACCATTCAAATATGTTCCACGCTAATTATCGTATAATAATTAAAATAATAAAAGCCTCTAGCAGGATTTTCGTAATCCTACAGAATTATCGTGTCCAAAATAATCTGCCGCAACGTAATCCTCTGCGAAAATATTAACTTTAATTGAGGAATACAAAAGGTGGCCTACTCTAAATGTTAAAATATTCCTATATGAAGGTTATTTAATTAATTCCATTTGATTAATGCTTATAGTAAGAAGCGTAGCAAATGTAAATTCGGATTTGGAATACTTCGACAAGTTTGAGTATTCAAGAAATAGTAATTTAGGTTTTATTCATTTCGTAATGTCATGTTGCTGGCTCTATAAAATTTATTCAGATGATGGAATGAACAGCAAACATGACATGAAATATATTAGAATTCAACCATAAATAATTTTATGTCACTGAGAAGCATATAGCAATGTTACCATGACTTCATTAATTTTATTGTTTGAAAAATATAAATAACCGAAAACCTACGTAAAATTATAAAAAAAAGACAAAATATGATCCTAAGTTGCGTTACTAATAAATCATAAAATTTATTTTCACTTTTAATGGCAGTTCAGTACAACTTATTTTTAAATATGTACGCCTTTATGGGATGCAAATCCTAAACTTCTATGACTATACACAGAAAACTATCAGCGAAGGCTTTAAGAGGTAGGTATTCTACGAATTCTACTTATTTTTTTTTTTATTAATATTAACTTCTTTAATCGTTAATCGACTTTTTTATTCAAATTTTCGTACACTTATTGATAATAAACTGCACCTACGAAAAAAGCAATTGACGCTCTAAAGTTTTAAGTTTCATACGAAAATGATTAGAGAATCGAACAAAAAGGCGATATGGTCGTCCACATGTGCTTCCAAGTCGTCAACATTAAATGTTAAAAAAGTATAATTTCTACTAAAATTCGTATATTAAAGTAAGGATTTTCACATGGTTTTGATCGATACGAATTTGACATTCTTTCTGTCTTCTGCCGAAAAGAGTTTTTTCGTTTTTTGACAATAAAAGTAAAAATATCAAATTTATGGTTTTCTTAATTAAAAGAAGCTAAATGTCAGCAAACTTTGTTATTAAATATGTTAATTTCAATGGAACATGAATCGTATTATATTTAAAAATGTTTTAATAATTAAAATAAATTAATAACATTTTACTCGACAAATTTCATTTCATTTTCATATTTACTAGTAACTGACAAGTTGGCACAATGTAAAAGTATTTTCCAAAGCCATCTCGTGCGACCGAAAATATTAAAAATTAAGTTTTTCAGAAATATTGCTATAACTAACAATTTTCGGTGTAGAACATGCTTAATAAAAGTTAAAGTGGACCGATATGTGAATAAAATATAACAACAAAATGTCGGGTGTTCCATTTGAAAAATCCTAGAAAATCTAGTTCGAACTTTCTAAAAATGATCGTATTATAAAAAACACCCTGTATAAAATATCGATATTAGCTGATATAGGAGCCTTTGTCTAACATTTGCATATAACTACGTCTAATATGTTTGCTGTAGTGTTAGTAGTTGAAAGTTTATACAACTTCTTTGAGGTCATGTTTTTTCCGGAATTTGAAGAATTTTCTACATAACTTGGTAACCCCGCACTAAAATGTTATATATTGCCATATTTTTCTCAAAAATCCATATGTTTAAAAATATACAAGGTGTTCCATTTAAAAAATGTAATATTAGGCGTGTCCCGTTTTCATTAATATGTTTCAAATTAATTTTGTAGTTAAGATTTCTTGATTCTGTACAACTTTTATATAAACTTTTTTTTCTGTATTATGGGAGTAACAAGTGAGCTATTGTACTTTGTCACACAATAGCCCACCCTATATATATATATATAAGTTGCCAAAGCGTTAGACGACTGTCTAAGTTAACTAACAAAATTCTAAATAAAGTCGGGTCTGCAGTCAAAGCCAAAATTTTTAAGTGTACTCTTTTTTATTGCTCGAGCTTTCGGAACAAATTTATTCCTGCCTCAGGAGAAACTATAATGGAATATACATTGATAACAACCACAAGTAATAATCTAATTTATACTTACAAAATTGAGATTTGAATCAAAAAATTTTT